ACTGTTCTATTTCTTTAATTTTTTGGTTTTTTAGAAAATCCTAAATGAGTTTCTCATCAAGGCTTCCTTTTTTATATGAACTTTTGTTTGCAAATTTTTCAGCTAAGAGTTCATTTATGTATTTTTGACTTACTTTTTTGTCAAATTTTTATGTTTTGTATATTAAGTTTGTTATCCTTCCAGGAATATTTTCTCTAAGAGATATAATTTCTATCTCTATTAACTTTAGCCTTAGGCTTATTTGCTTATGACTTTCCACTAGGTCATTTAATAAATCTATAGCTTCCTTTAAACTCATTTTTCTTTTAATATGATATATAATAATCAGATGTATCTAGATAATCCATTTCATATTCTGAATAACCAAATAGTATGAATTCCATTGAAAATTCTTCTCTATATTTTTCATCTATGATTATTTATAGAATTTTTTCTTTTAGGTCTTTATTTAACTTTATTACCTTTAGTATGGTTACTAAGGTTTGGTCATCTAAATACCATATATGTTTAATCATTTTGATTAAGTTTAATTATCTTGATAGGCTCTGATACAAATAGTTATATTTTTTTAAAGTTATAAGCATATAATAAAATAGATATTGTTTAAACATCATGTTGTGATATTCCCTTTAGGTACTCAGTCCTCTCTCACCCCGACCCACCCCCATCGACGCCCATCCCCACCCATCCTTGCACCACGCCACACCACCAAGCCCGATCGACGCTGCCTCAGCAGCAAGTCGCATCAGCAGATCGAGGGTGGTCGCAGCAGTAGGAGGAGGTTCTCAGTTCGCGCTTCCATCCTGATCGGCGCCGCCTCCATCCTGATCGGCGCCGCCTCCATCCCGACCGGTGCCTCCTCCATCCCAATCGGCGCCGCCTCCATAAGGTTTGTTCTGTTTATTTTCTCAGTAATACCAACCCACTCACTTTTCTCTTCAACTATATGAAATGCTTGTTCATTGGGCAAATTGTTGTTGATTTTTTTATGAGTATTGATTAATTACTAGTATAGTGCGAATCTAGAAACGGAAAAAAATGGAGTTTGAAAGGGATATGTTCGTAAAGTCTTCAAGAACAACTTGAGTATGACTGTTCTGACCACTGTTTGTACAACTTGAGTAAGACTCCATTCAGAAAAAAATGGAGTTTGAAAGGGATACTAACTTATTTTAACACAAAGTATGGCTACACTTTTTCTGAAAAATAAAACATAATAATATGAGGATAACTCGACTCTAAAATCTAATTATTTAACAATATTCATACTAATATTTAGATTTATTTATGCAAAAAGCAGTCGGAAAAAGACCCAAACAAAAAAACTCCATCTCAAAGCATGTGGGGAAAGGACAATTTTACTACAAGCTTCATTCATGAAAAACATAATCATATACCTATAAATCAAAAATACATAATGTAACATGACTTCTCTACAAGTTTCCTCTGTTTGTATTGTCCACTCTTTGCTTCACATAACCAAGAACAGAAAAGGACATTTCCCCAACAAAACCACCCCAACCACAAATGCAACTTGCTTTCAAGGTATTATTATTTTGTGAGTATTAAGTTTGAGTTAACAAAACTTTCTGATTAACATTTATTTCTTTTCGTGCTAGGCAACTGAGGAAGCTCAACATCTAAAAAAGTTGTTACAAGACTATATTGCTTCTTTCATCAAGTAGGAGATAAAGTTTGGTGCTTCTAAATTTCTAAAGTTCAAGTACAATTGTTTTCTATAAGTGTTTGTGTCAATCTAGTATTGATACTTAGCTTTAATTTTGTCATAACTTGTTTGTGTCCATCGAGTGTTTGTTTTGCATAAGTACCAACACTAGTTGATCCTATTGATGACAAAATTGATTTTCTTGCAAGATCGATTTGTGTCCATCTAGTGTTGACACTTAGCTTTAATTTTGGAATAATGTGTTTGTTAAGCATAAGTACCAACACTAGTTGATCCTATTGATGACAAAATTGATTTTCTTGCAAGATCGATTTGTGTCCATCTAGTGTTGACACTTAGCTTTAAATTTAGAAATAATATATTTGTTGATGGATTTAGTTGTTGGAATTAAGTCAAAACTAAACTAGTTTAATTGAAAAACTTGTTAAGTTGTTTTAATAAGTTCAAATAAATAATGTGGTTTAGTTGGTGGATTTAGTTGTTGGAATTAAGTCTAAACTAAACTAGTTAGAGTTAAAAAGTTAAAAAGTTAAAAAGTTAAAAAGTTATTAAGTTGTTTAAATAAGTTAAAATAAATAATGTGGTTTAGTTGGTGAATTTAGTTGTTGGAATTAAGTCAAAACTAAACTAGTTAAGTTGTCAAGTTGTTTAAATAAGTTCAAATAAATAATGTGGTTTAGTTGGTGGATTTAGTTGTTGGAATTAAATCTAAACTAAACCAGTTAAAGTTGTTAAGTTGTTTAAATAAGTTAAAATAAATAATGTGGTTTAGTTGGTGGATTTAGTTGTTGGGATTAAGTCAAAACTAAACTAGTTAAAGTTAAAAAGTTGTTTAAATAAGTTAAATTAAATAATGTGGTTTAGTTGGTGAATTTAGTTGTTGGAATTAAGTCAAAACTACACTAGTTCAAGTTGTTAAGTTGTTTAAATAAGTTCAAATAAATAATGTGGTTTAGTTGGTGGATTTAGTTGTTGGAATTAAGTCTAAACTAAACTAGTTAAAGTGGTTAAGTTGTTTAAATAAGTTAAAATAAATAATGTGGTTTAGTTGGTGAATTTAGTTGTTGGAATTAAGTCAAAACTAAACTAGTTCAAGTTGTTAAGTTGTTTAAATAAGTTCAAATAAATAATGTGGTTTAGTTGATGGATTTAGTTGTTGGAATTAAGTCAAAACTAAACTAGTTAAAGTTGTTAAGTTGTTTAAATAAGTTTAAATAAATAATGTGGTTTAGTTGGTGGATTTAGTTGTTGGAATTAAGTCTAAACTAAACTAGTTAAAGTTAAAAAGTTGTTAAGTTGTTTAAATAAGTTAAAATAAATAAGTCAAAACTAGTTAGGCTTAGAAAGTTGTTTAAATAAGTTCAAATGTTATTTAGTTGTTGGAATTAAAATTATCATTATTGTTTGTGTAGATGGATCCTGATCGTAGTTGGATGTATAATTGAAACAATCCTGGTCGAGCATGTATGATTCGTAGTGAAAATGGTTCAAAATATATCTGAACTTTGACCGAAATGGCTGTAACGATACCGAATTTTGGAAAGGACCTTTTACCCCCTGCACTATTTTAATAGTGTATTTTAAAGCTATATATGTGCTCACGTGGACACACTACTATTTATAATGATGCAATATTTATGATGTCCACGTGAGCACATATATACCATTAAAATATACTATTAAATAGTACAGGGGGTAAAAGGTCCTTTCCAAAGTTCGGTATCGTTACAACAATTTCGGTCAAAATTCAGATATATTTCAGACCTTTTTCCTTAAATTTTATGTCAATTTATGGAATATGAGAAGAAAGGAAAATTTTTTGTAGTTGATTTGAAATTATGATGTTTAATTAGTATGAATATATGTGATATAGAATTATGGGAATGTATAATCTAAGATGTGTATTTTGGAGTTTTTAATATAGCACACGAATTAAAAAAAAAAAAGAAGAATCACAAAAATGTGATATGATTTAGAAATGTGAGAATTAAAGATATAAGGTATGTGTTTTGGACTTTTTAATATAGCACATTATTTTTTTTTTAAAAAGAAGAAAATTCACTAAAATGAGAAAAAAGATAAATGAGTTTTTTTTTTATCATAAAAATGTGACACATCACTTTGTCTATATCTAACTTTAATATATATTAGATATAGACATAGATTTATGTTTGTGAATATTTAATTAAATATTTTTGTGAATATTTTGAATCAAATAAATAGGAGAAGACAAAAAAACAATTATTTTTGAAAAAAAAACCGGATGACAATAAAGGTAAATGGAAGGTTATTAGGAAGACATTAATAGTGGAGTAATAATGGGGAGAGAGAAAGTGTAGTGCATCTATTTTTCTAAATTAAATGCAAAAAATATTTAAAATTTTGCAAAAAAAAGAAAAGAAAGACAAATAGGAATGCTGGCCAAAGAAATATGCCACATCATCTTATTCACATCTAGCTTTATATAGATATATAGATTCAATAAGATACATAACATTTGTATTATGTATGCAAAGACCTTGTATAAGAAAAAACACTTGAAATTGATGGATAAAATGTTTATATTAATTTTTGAAAAGATAAATATAGAGAATGATAAATAAAAAATATGTCATTTTCTTTGAATAGATCTATTATCTGAGGATTCATATCTAAAGTGATGAAAAAGTTAGAGTAAAACGAACGATCAATAATAAAATGTATTAAGACTTAAAATTAAATCTTTTTTATTGTAGAATTAAAACACTATTTAATTCGTAGTTGGATAAAATATTCTTGACAATTCAATGTACTCACTTGAAAACAAAATCGAATGAATGATCATGAATAAGCTTATTGATGTAGTTTACCACCACATGAAGCGCGGGTGATTTACGTAGTAGGAGTATAAAATATAATATATATTGAGTTTTTTTTGTATTATTATAAAACTTTGGTACGATATACGATATTTCAGTATTATATTTATTATAAATACCAATATCATATTGAATATCAGATTAATTTAAAATGCGTGCCAAATATCATAATATCCCTAGTGCGATATAGAAAATTTTGATTTCAATCAATATGATATTGGATATATATACCGTATCAGGTCATGCCCTAGAATCCAACATTTTATAGCGGGAAAACAATTCCCGAATCTCAACCCGCCAACTATAAAACCCTCACAATTCATTCTGTTCTTTTATTCTCTTTTGACATAGAAAACACAAGCAGAGCTATCGAAAAATTGTTGAAAAGGAGGTAAAAAGGTATGAATTTAGTATTTGCCCCAAAACCCAATTTCAGAATATCGAATTAACTGAAATTATTGCTAATTTTTCATTACAGTATGTCTAGTTCTGGGGAAGATTTTTCTCAATTTGGTATTTCTGTTGAGGAGAAAGACAAGCTTGTAGCAGAGGTGATTCGGTATGTATTATTCAAGAGTGAACAGAGTTCAGGCTGCCCAATAAAGAGGGAGGAGCTAACCCAGTTGATCACTGGCAAGAATTATCGTCAAAGAAATCTCCCTGCTTTTGTTATAACTGAGGCAAAATTGAAACTTTCCTCCCTTTTTGGCTTTGAAATGAGGGAACTTCAACGCTCTCGCTCTTCTGCTCCTCAAAACCCTCGTTCATCTCAGCAAGGTTTTCTTTAAACTATTCTTCTTATTTTATTGAACGTTCTTTTATTTCAAAATTTTAGTTGGATTAAAACTCCCAATAATGTGTACTCTATGTAGCATGGGCCGTTTCGTGTTATCTTTTTGGCGGATTAGAAAGAGCTTGTTGTTTATTCGCCTCCCCAGATATTTAGGGAAAAGGCCTTCCTCAAGTATAGTCCGCAGTAGCACCCAACGTTGTGGCCTAGTGGTCCATGAAGTGATTGAGAGGCCTGAGTTCTTAGGTTCAAATCCTAGCAGAAACAAAAAAAAACACTAGGTGATTCTTCCTATATGTCCTAGCCTTGATGGATAGAGTTATTTAGACCACTGTTACTGGTGGGGTATCCCGTAAAATTAGTCACTGGCCCAGACACCACAGTCATAAAAAAAATGGATACAACCTGCAGTACAAAATTTTTCTCCCATATTTTTCTTTTCTATTTTTAGTTTTGGAGTAGATAGAGAAGATTTGATGCAGTCCTGAGCTTCTACTGGATGTCATAGGACTTAGGAGGGCATTCAGACTTCAAGAAGAAAAAAGTAGAGCCTCTTCTTGACTTGCAAAACATTAGCCAGGTAAAGGAGGATGGGTTGCACTAAGTTAATGATATCTTTTCGAGTAATTTTAGTTTTCATACAAGTTTTTGAAAAACTCAATAAATACAAATCATCAAAAATTTAGACATGTTTCTTAGAAGTAGCAAACCAAGAAGGTCTGCAAGGCTGATCTTGAGATTGCTACCTTGATTTTAGCAACACCGTTTCCACTAAGATCTTTTGTAAACATTTTTAAAAGTTTCCTCAAGCGTAAATCTTTCAAAGATAGTTTATTGCCATTGCCAGCAGTGCATATACTCCAAGATGAGAATACTTCAAACTAACTCAACTTTTTGGTTAGATACTGGGAATCTAAGGCAGCATGAAAAATCCAGCTATTGACAAAAAATTGAGGAGTAACATCAATGCAACAGCACACTCTTTAGGAGACAGATTATATACTGATGTAAAAGCAGCTTCTAGTGCTCTTTCTTCTTATTCTCTTTTCTTTATATGGTAGACCCTGCTCCTTAAACCCCACTTGGATAACCAGCATCTTTTCCAACTCCCCCCTTGATGAGGCCCCTGTCGTGGTTATAGAGAGTCCTTTTCACTAGACTATCCTCTTTTGTCAGCTTCTAGTGCTTACTTATGGAAACCTATGTGAGATTGTTTGCTAAGGGGTATCTCAGCATTCCTTGCATAAAACGGAATTAGAAATTTCCTCTCTGTTTAGGTATTCATGTTTTATATTGTCTGAAGCTTACGATCTAAATTTCGTCATGGCTACCCATAGGATTGAGTGAAAAATTTATTTCTGCACTTAGTATTTTGTAGCCATAAAAGTCCAGCTAAGTTGACAGAAACAACAATCACAGGGCAGCTAGCTTACCAGGTCCTCCCAATAATGTCCTGAGACAGCCTTTTTAAAACGAATTATCCACTTCCCACCATGGGAGTTAACAGCATCCTTCACAGACAAATATAATCAGTAAATTAACTCAGTAAGAGATATACATAGTTAAGGACTTTAACAAAATTGAAGACACAGAAAAACAATAGTTAGCATGAGCACCAAAACTAACCTTCCATAAAGGACGAATACCCTCCTTGAAAAGATGCAAATAAGTTGGGCTGAGCAATGCTGATGGACGAGCCAAGTGGCAGTAGCAAACCCAAAAACCTTCAACCTCTGGATGATGAACACATAGTAGATTAAAAAGGCTGTCAAATTCACGTAAAGCCAAAGACCATAAATAAATTGACTTAACAGTACTAAAATCAACAATTTTCTTTATATTGTCCTCGTACGATGTTTGTGTGCGAACCCCAACGTGAGTATACCAGAAAACAAACTTGTTTTGATCGCGATGATGAAGTTAAGTGAGTACCAAAAGCACAATTCATAAAAGAAAAAAGAAAACAAAAGATAAAAAGTAAACATGGCTAGAAAATAATACTGTGCTTATGGAACTACAAAGTCTAGCATTTTTTTTTAATAAAGAGTGGGAAAACAGAGCATGATAATACACTGCAAGCATATCCTAGTCATCATATGTGCATGCTCCTAGACATATCTGCAATTCTAAAATCCTCCTGGCCTAACTGGCACAGTGAACATATATCTGCCTTATGTTTGTCACTGCTGATGGATTGTTAAGTGGTGTCTTGCTTGAAGACTTTTTCACTGGTGTCAGGCAGCTTGTCTAAGTGATACATTCTGGCTTCTTCTTGCCAAGGCTGAAGGATTTTGCATAGTATTCAGTTCCCCAGTGAAGAATATGTATGGGGCAGCATTAGGTATGAGATACACCAAGGGACGAAGAGCATGAGCAACACCATCCACATTAGCCTCATCATGATCAATTACTGATTGTTTTCTCCAACAACTTCTATATTAGTGTCTGAAACATGAAAATACTGGTGACTTCCACCCACCTTAATCTCACACTCACTATCCTGGGAAGCATCAGGTATGAGAGAAACAAGGGCTGGAGACTATGAGCTTCACTCTCCATAGTGGCCTCAGCATAATCAACTTCAGATTCTTCAATGGATTCTTCTTGTCCAATAACTTCCATAGCAGCAGCTGGTGCATCCACATTAGCCTCAGTATGATCAACCTCATATTCTTCCATGGGATTTTCTCCAGCAACTTCCAGACCATGAGCTGCATTGTTGACACAATGCAGAATGATAAACTTCATATTCTTCCATGGGTTCTTCTTCTCCAGTGTCTTCCACGTTAGTTTTGGCAATATCTTTCAGACACTGCACCTCTTCATGGATATCTATGTTTGTTTCTGGATTGGCACTCACAGGTTCTTCCATCAACTCTTGTTTTCTTGCAACGTCAGAGTTACATTCTGCAGCCTCATCCACTTGACATTCAAACATCTGATTAAAATTATCTTCTTCATCTCCATTTTCTGCCACAAAATCAGATGTATCACCACAATGGGGCTCATCCTGTTCATGCGGCTTCTTGGTCACATTACCATCTGAATTCCTCGTCATATCATCACCCAAGTTTCGGTTTTTGTTCTGAAAATCTTTTTCCTTTTTAGCCTCAGCATGATTGATTTCAGATACTTCCATCGTTTCCTCTTCAGATCTGTTGTTATTGTGACCAAGTGCTACTTCCTTTGAGCCCTCTTCTGCTATGTATCTAAAGCAACAACTACCAGGGCACTGCCACTGTCTTGCTGAAAACCATCTTCCATGTCTACTTCATGTTGTTGACCTGATACAGTATCTGATTCATTCTTGATGTTCAAACTCTCAGATGATTTTAAATCAAAACCATTTTTGTCTAATTCTTCAGTCTTGTGAACAGAATACTGCTCAGAGTCCACCTCTAAACTTTCATAAGTTTCTTCAAAAAGCACATCAAACGTGATGGTTCCTGACTCTTCATTCTCTTGTGTGCTTGATACCTGCATAGGTTTCCAGCTAACCTCACTGATTGATGAGTGCTATAGACTTTCCTAACTGAACTCTTTGCCATCACTTCCTTTCTTTGGCTAGTGAGAACAGTTGCTGGTGTCTTTGGAACATCTTTCTTTTCTTCTTCAATCCACCCCGGTTTTCTCTTTTGGTTCACACTCCTTCATTTCTGTTTCCAGCTAAGTGCGAAGTGAAGTTATTACACCCCTCCTTCTGGTAGTTGGTAATGCAGGAGTCTCATGCATATCATTTGGGCCTTCATCAAAGTCTCTGACCAATGCTCCTCTTGTTCTGCAGCGATTCCTTGTCAAGGTCTCCAAAGTTTCCAAGTCATGTTATGTTGTATAGTTTGGGAACCAGTCTGAGGTACACTTGTTGCTTCTGACTCCCAGGAGACTCCATGGACGGGTTTGCTATATCAGATTCACATGTTTTCAAGACCTCTTTAATCCCATCACCAAACTCAAGAGATTGAAGAGAATCGGCCTTGGTGACATTGGTGATGCTAGCTAAGATTTTGTTCTTCTCAGTTTATCAAAGGCGCGCTGTAAGTGCACTTAAGCCCTGAAGCAAGGCTCAAAGCATGTTGAGCGCTTCACCTCGCTTTAGGTGCGCTTCAATGTTGTCATCAAGGGTCTAAGGCAAACGTTTCTTTTCCAATGAGCCTCTTATTAAGAAGTGACACTAAATAATAGATATTTCACTTTATCATAAATTTTTTTCAATTTCTTTGGTCATATATTTGTCATTCATGTTTATAATTATTAGTCTTGGACTAAAAATATATATTTATATTCTTTTCTCCCTTTGTGCCTTTTTTAATTAAAGCCCACACTTTATTTGTGCTTTGGGCTTAAAGCCTCCACGGACCTTAGAGCTTTTTGCACTTTTTTCCTTTGATAAGACTGGTTCTTCCTGCAGAGAGCTTTCAATTCTCTCCTTGAGAGGCTGTGGAAATGCATCTGTGTGTTTGAATGAAACAGGGAAATCAATCTGCGAATGTTGGGGGGTGGGGGATGAGGTTTTTATGAGCGACACTTGGATTTTCCATCTGATTATCCCTAGATACATAGTACAAAGTGTGGATATTTGCTACTTGTAATAAGTAATCTTCAAAAACAAACTAAAGTTGGAACTGTGATGTATATTGTATAAGATAGGTATTAGTTAGTAGTATTCATGATTGAGGCTTGCAAAATGGAATTCTTCATTTTAAGCTGCAAACTGTTTGTGTTGTTAATCTATTCGGATCCATAGGCTGTGTATTTTGTTGTTGAATTGTGTATTTTCAACATGGACTTTTTCATGATGGACAGTGACAGCTGATGCAAAGTCATATATTCTCAGAAGTCAGCTACCGGCAGATGTATACAAGGCATTTGTTGAGGATGAAAATAAATCACACGTCACTGCTCTTACTTTTGTCGTTACTAGCATTGTTCGTCTTGCTGGAGGCAAAATTAATGAAGGTATATTTGCAATTTCGTTTTTGCTTGAACATATTTTTCAATTCCTATTTATTCCATGTCTTTTACTTCCTAATATCTAATGAGAGGAATGAAGCTTACATTTGCTGCTATCAATGTGTTGAAGAAAATCTTTGGTATCAATTGAGACGACTGGGATTGTCTGAAACTGATGAAAGTCATCCTGTTCATGGAAACCTCAAACTAGCATTGGAAGCAATTGTTCAACAAAGGTTAGAACCGACAAACCAGAGGATTCCATGTCCATGTCATATAGTTCTGCTTTCTGGTGTTCTGATTTTTGCACATCCACAGATACTTGCACATCCACAGATACTTGCACAAAGAGAAAGTTAATGGTCCAGAAGGTAATGCAACGTTTTATGAACTTGCTGAGAGGTCACTAGATGGGCCAATTAATGATGGAATGAAAGAGCATATATCAAAGGTATCATTCAGACTTTTGTTGCATCTTATGGTTTTAGTATACAATTATCTCCTATTTTAGTCTGCTGCAAGGGTACTTCTAGCTGAAGAGAGTTGCATTCACCTGGATTATGAACTGAACTGTCAATTGAATCACTGTAGTAATAAGCTTTTGCTGCGTCCCTATGGTCCCTGGAGTAGATTTGTGTGGATATCATTTATTTGTTGCAAGAAATGTATCCACTAGATTTCCAACATACCACAATCTGTGCATCAATAAAATATATGATTTGTTTCTCCCTATTTGGGAAGCTGGGTGATAACTCTAGCAACCAATCCTACAAATAGAAAGTGTGTCTAATTTACATTAATACTTGATGCTTGTTGCAATTTGACAAACTTTCCATTTGGTCGACTCCAAATACCAATTAACCTTGAACTATCCCTTTGCAGATTGTGAACAAAGATATTACTTCGGTGAATGCTGACTAGTTTGTTTACTGATGTCTGGGATTCTTCACAAGTGTTTGTGGCCATAGTTCCTAACTGTACGATATTGGGTTTTGAAGCTGTGAAATTGGTATGATGTTTTAGATTCGCCAGAGCTGCTACTTTCGTTCTTCGTCTATTTTTGTGAAATACAGCCATTCATGTATTTACGCAGCTGAATTGATATTATTTATATGATTGTCCTTTGTCTGGCATACTAATCAACATATATATATATATATATATATATATATATAGAAGCATTAATAGAGCCCCCTCATCTAGTCAAAATCTTTAATTGGTTGTCCTCCGGATAATATTTGACAGATGTATCATCATTTGGTTAATCGTGCGTGAACAATTAACACTAGCAATCCAGATCACTGTCCTTGTCCAGATTTAACTAAGTTGTTTATTTTGGAGATGTGCGTTAACAATTCCAATACAACCTGTAACAGAAATGACTGCTAACAAGCACAGGGAAACTTGAAAACTAATTCTGAAAGCATTACTAAAGTGTTTGTAGACAACTTCAAGTAGAGTCAAAGCTAACAGAGGTCACACATACAAGGATGTGAAGATTGGATGTTTGGGATTGAGAAGAATAAAAGTCCTGAGCCAGATTTCAAATCTGCTTGATTGAGAAGAATGAAAGAGTCGTTGATTTTTTCAGGAATGGTGAACTGCTCTTAACAAATCACTTCTACTAATATTTACCTCATTCCAAAAGTTTATTGTCCAAGAAAATGCTAGTCAATATAGACAAATATCATGTTGCAATGTAGTCGTCGTTTGGTAGGTTGTATTAGGAATAATGCTCAAGTAGACTGAAGGAGGCTGTTGCTCATATAGTAGCAGATAATCATGCAATCTTTAAACTAGGAAGATCTATGATTCATAATCTGCTTATATGCCATGATTTGCTCAAACAATATGATAGAAAGACAACTCCTAGATGCCTCGTGAAAGTTGATGTCAAAAAGGCCTATAATATGTTTAAGTTGGAAATTTCTTGAAGAATCAGCCAATGAGGAACATTTGGTCCTGTTGTTTTTAAATATCTCGTGTGAACCCCTTTGTATTAGCAATGACCTAGTGTGGGTTGAGCTAAATTAGGCATTATGCATTTACTTCATCACGCCATTTTCGACATCAGGGAGAAATATGGAAATTATGACTATCAAATCACACTAGAAGCAATGAAATGGTAATAATGTGCATGACTGCATATTCAACCAAATAGTTAGACCGGTGCAATTGATGAGACACAAAACACCTTATTGCCGAATTTGGCAACCTTGAAAGGACTGGCCATATTTAGCTCAAAAAAGCTAAAACAATTAAATCGATCAGTTAGTAACACAGTAACTACAAGAAGATAAAATGACAATCAACTAATAAAGTCATAAAGATAAGGAATCACAACAATTAAACTGAAAATACATCAAAAAGCAACATTCAGAACATTATAATTATCAAATACCAAATTTGATAAAACATCTTTCACTTACACTACCTTGAAACACCCACAAACTTTGGTGAAATACCCTACCTTCTGATCACATTCTTCATTATTGTATCGATAAATTTTGTAGTCCAGCTGCTCATTAGGTCCATAAGCCTCCATTCCTCCCAAGAACCCATCCGAATTGACACTGTTCCCTTTGAGCAAAATAAGTTATTCCTTGTAATTCTAAACATAAAACAAGTAAGAGATCCCTCGAATACCAGGATCCATATTTTGTCCACTATTTGGATCATAAGAAACCAGATTAGTCCTCCTAGTTGAAAACAAAACGTCATCGTTGTTCCTAAATCGAACAACTTTCTCTATACCTGCAACCAAATTTATACCGTACAATCTACTCCAAGATTCCAAAACACCATACTACTTCATTACCCATACTTCACATGAAGCGCCATCTATCTCCCTCCCATAATTAACAACAACAAGTGATTCCTCAAACAACATAATCGATAAATTTGTTGGAGTTGCACCATCTAAAGCATCCAGAAGCATAATCTCCCCAAACACCTCATCCGCTATACTAAAAGACAACTAAACTCCGAATTCCACAAACTTTCGGAACCACATCATATGCAATCCAATGTACAACTCCATTAACAAATGCCCCAACCACATAACCTCCACCATGCAATGCTTAATCTCAACTCCTACCACTCTCCTCCAAACCCCACTATTAATCGAATAAATTTTAATCTCATGAGGACCATTATACCCAAACAAAATATTTATATGATACACAAGTCTAACCAACTTATAGTCATCAGTCTCAGACAAATCAACACAAACATATGAGGTGACTTAGGCTTAATTGAAGGCATATGTATACTTATAAACTTATGAATAGAAGGGTTCCACAGAACAAGACTCCGTAACTCACCAAGCAACTCATTATACAAACACACGATGCCACTGCAGCTGCCAATAATTTTGAAATACCCTTTTTTGCATTTGAAAGGGAAATTCAATTTCGATGTAAAATCCAGGGAAAAGGGTCGATTCTTAGATTCTTGAAACAACGAATAGTGCTCTCTTTTGCGAGTTCTGACGTAACGCCTAACAAGAAAGGTGTTGGAATGTACGATTTGGGCGAGGTGAGCGGAGATGAAAGAAAAATTGGTGATGAGTGAATGCTACAATTTGCAGACAATTGTGAATCGAATGAAGGATTTAACAAGTAGTTTCAGTAGAATTTCTTTCAAAAGTTCGGAACCAAAGTAGGTAGAGTCAGAATTAGTCATTGATCAATTTTGAGAGCAAGAGGGAGAGACAGGAAGAACCCTAGTTGTGGAAGACATTTTTTGTAAAATTTCCTTTAAATATAGGGATGTCAACGGGCAAGGGCAGATATAACTTTTGAGGGGCGGGGAGAGGCGGGGCGGGATGAGGCGGGGTAGGACAAGTTTAGATATTTTTTAATCAAAATCATGCGGTGCAGGGTGGGTTGCGGTTTTGGGATAAATGCTAAAATCGCTAAGCTATTTATTTCACTTATCTTCTTGCTTTCTTTTCCTATAAGTGAAAGAAATGGCTTAGCGATTTTAGCATTTTTTCCAAACCCGCAACCCGCCCTGTACCGCATGATTTTTATTAAAAAATATCTAAACTTATCCTGCCCCGCCTCGTCCCGCCCCACCCCTCAAAAGCTATATTCGCCCAAGCCCGTAGACATCCCTATATTTAAAGCAATTTTTATCAAAATTGCCTGCCACAACTAGGGTTCTTCCTGTCTCTCCCTCTTTCTCTCAAATTGATCAATGACTAATTCTGACTCTGCCTACTTTGGTTCCGAACTTTTGAGAGAAATTCTACTGAAACTACCTGTTTAATCCTTAATTCGATTCACAATTGTCTGCAAATCATCGCATTCACTCATCACCATTTTTTCTTTCTTCTCTGTTTACCTCGCCCAAACCCCACATTCCAACACCTTTCTTGTTAGGTATTACGTTAGAACTCGCAAAAGAGAGCACAATTCATCGTTTCAAGAATCTAAGAATCGACATTTTTCCTTGGATTTTACATCGGAACATAATTTCCCTTCAAATGCCAGCAAGGGTATTTCAAAATTGTTGGCAGTTGCAATGGCATCATGTGTTTGTATGATTGTTTTCTTGGTGAGTTGCGGAGTCTTGTTCTTTGGAACCTTTCTATTCATAAGTTTATAAGTATACCTATACCTTCAATTAAGCCTTAGTCACCTCATATGTTTATTCTTGGATTTGGTGCTGATTTGCTTGAGACTGATGACTATAAGTTGGTTAGACTTGTGTATCATACGAATATTGTGTTCGGGTATAATGGTCCTCCTAAGATTGAAATTTATTCGATTATTAGTGGGGTTTGGAGGAGGGTGGTAGGAGTTGAGATTAAGCATTGCATGGTGGAGGTTATGTGGTCTCAAGCTTTTGTTAATGGAGTTAGACATTGGATTGCGTATGATGTGGTTCCGAATGATTGTGAAATTCGGAGTTTAGTTATGTCTTTTAGTATAGAGGATGAGGTGTTTGGGGAGATTATGTTGCCGGATGCTTTAGCTGGTGTAACTCCAACAAATTTATCAATTATGTTGTTTGAGGAATCACTTGTTGTTGTTAATTATGGGAGAGAGATTGATGGCGCTTCATGTGAAGTATGGGTGATGAAGCAGTATGGAGTTTTGAAGTCTTGGAGTAGATTGTACCGTATAAATTTGGTTGTAGGTATGGAGAAAGTTGGTTGGATTTAGGAACAACGGTGACATTTTGTTTTCAACTAGGAGGAATGATCTAGTTTCTTGTGATCCAAATAGTGGATGAAATACGGATCTTAGGGATCTCTCACTTGTTTTATGTTTAGAATTACAGTGAATCACTTATTTTGCTCAAAGGGAACAATGCCAATTCGGGTGGGTTCTTGGGAGGAATGGAGGCTTATGGACTTAATGAGTAGCTGGACTACAGAATTTATCGATACAATAATGAAGAATGTGATCAGAAGATAGGGTATTTCACCAAAGTTTGTGGCTGTTTTAAGGTAGTGGAAGTGAAAGATGTTTTTATCAAATTTGGTATTTGATAATCATAATGTTCTGAATGTTGAACTTTTGTTTTCCATTTACTTGCATTACATTAGTTGTTACTGTACTCTTGATGCCTTTTGATGTATTTTAATTAAATTGTTGTGATTCCTTATCTTTATGACTTTATTAGTTGATTGTCATATTATCTTCGTGTAGTTACTACCTTATCGATTTCATTGTTTTTGCTTTTTTTGAGCTAAATTTGTCCAGTCCTTTCAAGGTTGCCAAATCCGGCAATAAGGTGTTTTGTGTATTAGTGATATCTCTTGATTGATATTCCATAACTTAGTATCTCATTAGTGGTTTAGTTTCTATTATAATTAGGTGAAGATCACAATCCTTTAGTAGTTAAATCTTTCCTTATTTGTAGTTTGCTCTCTTGTATAAGTACACATACATATTAATAAAATAATACACTTCTCTCCAACAGTAAAGCTCATATTGTGTCTCATCAATTGCACTGGTCTAACTATTTCGTTGAATATGTAGTTATGCACATTATTACCATTTCATTGCTTCTAGTGTGATTTGATAGTGATAATTTCCCTATTTCCCCCTGATGTCGAAAATGGCATGATGAAGTTAATGTCTAATTTAGCTCAACCCACAGTAGTTGGTTTTTTAGCTAGCCAAGTGCATATTCTTCACTTTGTAAACCAAG